CCCTCATTGGTTTCCTTGAGAGCAGAGAGTGCCTTGTTGTCTTTCTGATATTTTTTTTTCTATCTTTTCTTTGTATCCCTAGCTTTTAGGCTCTTTTTTTGATCATGGCTTTCACATAGTCCAATAATTTTTAAATTCTCTCTCCTGGATCTATTTTCCAGGTCAGTTGTTTTTCCAATGAGATATTTCACATTGTTTTCTAATTTTTCATTATTTTGGATTTGTTTTTCAGTGTCTTGATTTCTCATAAAGTCACTAGCTTCCAATTGCTCTATTCTAATTTTTAAGGAAGTATTTTCTTCAGTGAGCTTTTGGACTTCCTTTTCCATTTGGCCAGTTTTGCTTTTTAGGGCATTCTTCTGCTCATTGGCTTTTTGGACCTCTTTTGCCATTTGGGTTAGGCTATTTTTTAAGGTGTTATTTTCTTCAGTATTTTTTGGGGACTCCTTTAGCAAGCTGTTGACTTGTTTTTCTTGATTTTCTTGCATCACTCTCAGTTTTTCCTCTACTTCTTTTACTTGCTTCTCAAAATCCCTTTTGAGCTCTTCCAAGGCCTGGGGCTGATTCATATTTTTCTTGGAGGCTTTGGATGTAGGAGCTTTGGCTTTGTTGTCTTCTTCTGGTTGTATGTTTTGATCTTCTTTGTCACCAAAGTAAGATAATATAGTCTGACTCTTTTTGTGCTGCTTACTCATGATCCCGGCCAATTACTTGAGTTTTAAACTCTTTGTTAAGGTAAGAATCTCCTTCCAATGTGGAGAATGGACTGTCCCAAGCTTTGGGGGTTTGTACAACTGTTTTCAGAGATACTTCTGGGGACCTGTAGATTTTCATTTCTTCCAGGGTGCTATGATAAGAGGCAAGGTGTTTCCTCTCCACCACCATAACAAGCTCCACCACGCCAGCACTCCTCCTCGCTCCAGGACCACCCCTCAGAACTGCAACCCAAATCCAAACACGGGCAAAGCCAGAGATTCCTGCCTCAGCACTGGCAAAGAGATCCCTGCAATCCCCCTCTGATCAGCCACTTGATTCCCCCTCAGTCTGTGGCCCGGAAGCTCAGGAAACAGTCGTTGCCCCAGGCCACACTCGGTACTTGCAGCTGAAACCTAGCTCCTCTCTCACCACAGGAACAGACTTTTCCTACTGACCTTCTAAGTTGTCTTTGGTGTTCATGGTTTGAAAAGTCTGGAAACTGCCACAGCTGCCTGCGATTCAGCCCTCTGAGGCC